TATATATGAAAGTGTTTGGATTGATAGCTCTAACCCCACCCTAAATGTCTAAAAGAAAATAATGTGAGTGGGCACAGGCATCCGTGGCGAGACTGTCCCATCCCGCCCCTAGCATGCATGTGCCAACTCCCAGGTCCCTATGTGTAAATGTTATGTGGTTATGAATAAATGTCTATGGTGTACAGTAAAATTGGAGCCCAGGTGGCCACTGCAAACAGATGTAAAATAGTTGCCGCTGTAACACACCTGTGTCCCAAAAACCCTACGTGAGTGCAATTGAAAAATGAAGCTGGTGGAGGTCTGCGGCAGGGGATGGGGAGGAAAAAACTGAGGGAACAAGAATGCTCCCACAGGGGGCCAGCTCCCCCACTGATCCCAGTAGGCTCCCCCGCTCCCCGAGACCCGCCCAGGGACTGAGGCCCCAAGACCTCCTCCTCTGGATGGACTGCCAGGCCCGGAAGATGCCAGATCACAGACAGACAGAGCCCGGAGGACTGCCAGAAACCGGGACCAAAAGACCCCCCGCCCCAGAGCCGCACAGACCCCCAAGACCCGACCCCCAGCCCCACAGCCAACCGGCAGCCCAAAGAAGCTACCGAAACCCAGCAAGAGTGATCTAGCCGAGAGCGCACACCCAGCCACCGACAACACCAGGAGGGACCAAGGGCAAGCCCCGTCACAACAAAGGGGCCAGCCAGCCGGCCCAGCACAGCCCGCCACTGCCACCACGGCCATCCACCCAGCCCCACCCCAGAAGAAATACTACACCCACCCCATCATTCAAACAACTCACAGAACATATAGCACRCTAGACACCCAGGCTGGGTTGGCCTACCCCCTCCCACGGGCCACCAGCCCTGTCCCCAGCCAACCCCACCCCCCAGCTTCGGATCCGCAGCCCACCCGCGCACCAGGAGGCCCCCCAGCCCGAGCCAGGCACCCGGGCACAAACCGACCCAGAGCCCGGCAACCCACCCGCCAGGCCCCAAGGCCCCCCAGACCCCACCACGACCACAGCTCAGGGGCAGCAAGACCCCAGAACCCCAAGCTCCCTGCGCCAACCCCGAACCCACCCCAGCACAGTCAGGCCACCGGGTCAGCAACCCATGACCGCCAGCACAGACCACCTAAGAGCCTGCACGCGGCCACCAGCGAACCCACCCCAGCACAGTCAGGCCACCGGGTCAGCAACCCATGACCGCCAGCACAGACCACCTAAGAGCCTGCACGCGGCCACCAGCGAACCCACCCCAGACCCCCCAGGGCCCCCCCAGGGCGAGAGCCACGCCCCTCCCCACCCAGGAACCCCCACCAGCCCCACCCCCAGG